AGAGCAGAGCTACCCGTGAGGCCTTCCAAAATGCAACCAGCGAGACGCGCGCTAAGCTAGGAAAAGCGCGTGTTGCAACTCCGCCTCTGTAAGGTCAAGGTCATGGTCACATCGTTCATCGATCCCCATCTCAACCTGTGCCTGATCTGCTAACCTTTGATGGTAAGTTCGATCCAGAGGTTTCTTGGACTGGCTGAAGGGCATGGATCGCTACTTCAATTGGTGCGTCCTGACGGAGCCGCGAAAAGTCAAATTTGCCACGATGAAACTCATCGGACCCGCCTGTCAAAATTGGTCCAACATCGAAATGTTAAGACATATTAGAGGTGAATTACCGATTTCTACTTGGCGAGAAATGGTCGACGAGCTTAAAACGAAATACTTCCCGCCATCGTTCTATCATAGATTGCTCGACAAGTGGCATCATCTTACTCAGGGAACCATATCTGCAAAAGAGTACATTGCTCAATTTGATGAATTATTTACTTGATGTAACACCATTGAGCAAGAGGCACCAATAAAAGTCTTGTTAAAGTTTAGAGCCGGATTGAGAAATAACCTCTAAACCGAACTCTTTGCTAGATGAGTAGACACCCTTGAGAGAGCTTACGTCTTAGTTCAAGATCTAGATGAGGCCAAATCCCATCAATCTCATAGGAGTCGGGATTTTCGAACTCATTCCTCCCAGTTTTTCCGTGTCACTACCTCTAGTCAGCCTCCTAGTCGATTTAACCCTAGTTTTTTCCAGTCTAGAGTCGATCCCAATGGTAAGGAGTCACAGAGAGATTTTTCTAAACTTAGCCCAATAATTCAGTGTTACAATTATCAAGGATATGGCCACATTGCTACCATTTTTACAACCCCGTTCAGAGTTAGAATTAATAAGCCGTCTATAACGGAATTAAAATCTATTATTGAGGAAATCGTTAATCAGACCATAGATCTGACAGAATCTAACTCTGATAAGAAAATCCAGGACAGTAAAATTAAAGAACCATACATTTCCGTGTCTTCTGAAACTACCCTTACAATTGTGGAGTTGACTGAAGTTTCATGCAATGACAACACTTCGGTTATTTTCCAAGCTACCCATTTGATCACGGAGTCCACTGATGTTATCCCTGAAGTTGTTCTTGAAATTAAAACTCCAATTCCTCCCGAATCAACTCCAGTGATTGAAAACGTTGTTGATGTTCTCACGAAGTCCTCCCGGACAAACATGACCCCCAACACGTTCCTGATTTAGGTCCTAAAGCGATTCAATCAGACATATATATGGAAGTTGAATATTAAATTGAGCCTAGTGAAATAACTATCATATTAGATGTCAAACCCCCATGTATTGTCCTGATAGTCACTCACACATACACTGATCCATTTTGAAAAAATATAGTGATTAGGGATACAAGTTTTAGCACGAGTGTTTTCATTTCATTTTTCTCTCATGTTAAGTGCACAAAAACACTCCTCCTTCACGCATTTGTTTGCATGTTCTTCACTATCAGTGCACAAAAACACTCCTCCTTCACGCATTTGTTTGCATGTTCTTCACTATCACTGCTAGAATAGGAAAGTTGTTATTTATATCATTTGTTTGCATGTTCTTCACTATCACTGCTAGAATAGGAAAGTTGTTATTTATATTAACGAAGGAACATCTAATCATTCCCTTTGATAGAGGACGTCATACATGTTAAGCACTTTGTTGAGTTTACATCTGTTATTGATCGCATTGTTCGAGTCTGCATTTCACCATAGTTATTTGAGTTGATTCACAACATTTTTTGAATTGCATTGGTCATATATTGAGGAATCAGTGATCTAATTTGAATAAATACATTATTAACTAAAATGTATGATATGGAGTCAGGATATAATTTTAAAACTGTTAATGCTGATATTTTAGATGATTTGGACTTGTCCAATACAGTTTCTTTATAACTGTTTAAGGTTTGACATGATATTTATGAACTTTTCCAACTTTTAAAATAATTAATGGCAACATTTATATTATCGATTTGGTCATAGTTCTATTCTCAATATTGACTGATTAAACAGTTCACAATGTTGTTGGCAGTTCACTGATATAAGCCTGATCCTAATCTATTGTTTCTGAGAGTTCTTTCACTTTACCTCACTTCTATATATTCACCCATGTAGTAGTGAATTTTGATAATATTTTAGATGGTGAATTTACAATGTAATCTAGCTAATAATTTGAGATGCAAGAAATTAACTGACGGCAGATTAAGATGCAGACAGAGTATATTAAAGATGACAAGTTTCTACAACTAACTCGACGGAGTCGAGTTTTCTCCTACCCGGGGAGAATGACGAGGACAAAAAAATGGCAATTTTCATATTTGATTAGTTGACTTCTTTTTATTTTTGATTTTTGAAATTTGAATTTTGAATTTTGTATTTTGTATTTTGTATTTTGTATTTTGAAATTTGAATTTTAAAATTTGAAATTTAGTTGAGTGATTTGAGGGATTGTTGTTTTGTTTCTATTTTTTATTGCTCGTTGTGTGCACGTAGTTTTTCTTTATAAATAAGGTTGTATGAGACTATTGAAAGGCAATGAATTATTGAATGAGTATACCGTCTCTAAACTCTTATCTTATATTCACTGCTGAGATTATACTTGTGAGTGGAGAGCAACTGAACATGTGACTGTTGCAGATCTGATATTGATTTTAGAACTTACGAAATGATAATGAATACAACGGTTATATTGTTTGAGATTTGAATTGTTCATGATTATTGATGCAAATCTTATTAAAATCCATCTGTCACATTAATCGTTTTGAATTTAATTTCCTGTCGAAGATCATCATTTTTTGCGAAACGGTATGTTATTCGATTTAGATCGCTGATTCCGACAGACCCCCTGTCATCGTTTTGCATCATATACACACATATATATATGTGTGTGTATATATGTACACACACACACACATACATACATATATATATATATATATATATATATATATATATATATGCATGTTATGTATATTTATATATGAATAGATGTGAAGTGTATATAGGAATATACATCCAAGAAGCGCATGAGGAGTGTTTTAAATTAAACCATGTATTATATAATTGAGTATAGACTCGAATAAACATATGCATATATTCAAGAAGTGTTCAATAGGTTTGGATATGTATTATATAATTGAGTATAGGCTCGAATAAACATGTGCATATATTCAAGAAGTGTATAAGAGGTTTGGAAATGAGTACATGTGGGGTACGGGTATGGCTTCCTTGTAGAAGTACCCAGGTAAATATAGGTCAACATCATATTGGTTCCCTCTCTCTCTCCCCCTTTCACTAGAATGTTCATTACTTTAATTCCTCCATCTCTTTTTTAGTTCTAAAATTTCACTCCCCTCTCTCTAGAAGTTTCCATTGCTTTCGTTCCTCCATCTCCTCAAATTTAAAATTTCATGCATGACCTTCTTCAAAAATATATAATTAAAAAAATACAACACAATGTAAACTAAGTAGCGGCATGTTATAAATAGGAGTTTTAATTAACGTGTATATAATATATAATTTAAAATATGTTTTGATAATTGATACTTAAAAAAACTTTTCATAATTATGTTATAATAGATTTTTTAAAAATTGGATTAATTTTCTTATGAATAATAGGTTTTGTTGCTTTAATCTAAAGTTATTATATGTATCATCGATTCATCATGTTACAATCGAGAAACTAAAAACTTTAGAAAATAAATAAAATAAGTTCTATTATATTGAGATCCACTAAATAAACTATTCTATGAAGTTTAAACTTAATTTCATTCCTCTAATCACAATGAAGGATACTGTAATAATTTTTTAGATGCGAAAAACATATACATACTTTTTAATAAATAACATAATTAACTTTGAGGACCGAAAAATGTTTAGATAGAAATTTAATATTACTTGCACCTACATTTGCACAAGCCAATATACTTGTATGTATTAAAGTTAATAATTTTACACAAGATCAATATATAAGAAATAGATGTGAAATGTAGCATAAACATCCAAGAAGTGCATGAATGTTTCAAATTAAAACATGTATTATATAATTGAGTATATGCCCGAAACAAGTAAGCATATATTCAAAAAGTGTCCAAGAAATATGGGTACGGGTATGGGTGTTGGTATGTGTCGAGTACGGGTATGGCTTCTTGTAAAAGTGCCCAGGTAATATAGTTGCCTGGTCAACCAGTTGCCTTAGGTCGTAGTTCATAGGAGGAAAAGACTGATACTGTTTAAATATGAGTTGGATCAGTCTGATTTGAGGTACCTAGACTTGTTGAAGCGGATTTTACACAGAATTTCTTTTATGTACTTCTATTTCTATTTTATCCAAAATTGTCGAACACAGTTGGATGCAAAAACAACTGGCTCAAATCATAGTTGGATTTTCATGAACTGACCTCCTAACTTGTAATGCCCAATTTGAAGACAAAGTTCTTTAAAGTGAACATAACGAGATGAGTTGATTCAGTTGAAATGTCAACGAGCATTTTGTGAATGATTGGTGGAGTTTGCAGATTCCTCACTATGATTGCTAGGGAATACTAATTTATTTGTATCATTAATCCTATAGTATGAGGTTTACTTTCCCCTCAGTCTTGCTGATATATGTTCTTTTCACTGCTACAATTTTAGTTTGTTTGTATGTTAACATCTAATCACTGTGACACCAGGCTTCAATGTTCTTTCCACCCATGAACTTGATGACGAAGTTGTTTAGTTGGATTTCTCTTTTATGATTTAATATTCAAACCAGGAATTAATAGTACTGAATTTAGCAAGAACATTATCAGTAAATTTGGCATATGTTTCAACTTTTACATTGCTATTTATTGCACAGCCAATGAAGATCTGATACGGTCAAATTGTAACTATCTTGTGTCATCTGTTTTCAACGTCTTTTGTAATGACACAAAGATTTCTTCTAACGTTGTTATTCTATCTTGTGTTCGCAGGGCTCACGATTTCATCGAGTTATCAAAGGCTTTATGCTTCAAGGTGGAGACATATCTGCAGGTGATGGAACTGGAGGAGAATCCATATATGGATCAAAGTTTGAGGATGAGAATTTTGAAATGAAACATGAGATGAAAGGAATGCTGTCAATGGCCAATTCTGGTCCTAACACAAATGGTTCTCAATTCTTCATCACGACAACAAGAACACCTCATTTGGATGGGAAACATGTTGTATTTGGGAAGGTGCTAAAAGGCATGGGAGTTGTCCGTTCAATTGAGCATACACCTGTCGGAGAGGGTGATTGTCCCACGGTTGATGTTATAATTGCGAAGTGTGGAGAACTTCCTCAAGGGAGTGATGACGAAGTTGTAAATTTCTTCAAAGATGGTGACATGAATCCAGATTGGCCTGGTGACCTTGATGAGAAGCCAAATGACGTAGCATGGTGGATAAATGCAGTTGATTCTGCTAAAAATTTTGGGAACACTTGCTTCATGGTATTATTTGTTATTTTTTTAATGCTTTATTTTCTTACATTCGGTTTTTTTTAAAGATTTGCTGTCTATTTATTCTCTTTTATCATTGAATATTTTGCTTTTATCTTTGTTAAAAGTCCGTTCTATTAGTTGTTTATCCTCATGTTATGACCACTAGTGTGCTAATGGTAGTAACATCCTCAAATGTTCTTACATTGGACAC